CGTTCAAGCAAACCACTTCTGAAGATGCAAGCCACTCGTGCTTGCGAAACGCCAAGAAGAAATTCTACCGAACGACGGCCTAAAAACCCGAAAAATCCATTCGTTTCAAAGAATGGTCTCGAAAGTCTATCTCTTTTGACAAAAATTGGTTCATTTTCTGTTTTATTGCACTTTCAAACATCTGCTTAACGAACCCAACACGTTATCAGTATATGTATAAATCCACGTTTCTCTGTTTCGTTTCAGAGTGTTTTAAATTGAAACCTCAAGCCAGCCTGAATTTGATTATTTTTCCCAACAATTTCTAGTGCTAAAATCGCTCAAAGTTAATCAACACAGCCATAGAATTCACAGCGAATAAAAGCAAACGTTTAGAAAAACCTTCTAAGGTAGACAAAACTGGAACTCAATAAACCAGAAAGCTTTACAGCGTTTTGCCAAAAAAACAGTTGAAAGAACATAAACAGATCGATCAGAAAAATTGATTGAAAGCGACAAACTCTCAAAACCCATTCACGCAAAATACCCGAATAAATCGGCAATTTCTGTTGCCTTTCAGACTACTGGGCGAGTGTTCACTTGAAAATCTGGAAGAATTGATCCTTTCCAATGCCAGCCACCTGACAGCAGTTTCCGTTCAACTGCTGGCGGAAAATTGCCCAAAATTGCGAGTTTTAGGATCGCTCACCAGTTGGGATATCACTCCCGAGGAACTGGATGCCCTAAGAATACTAATTGCTGTATCGAACACGGATTTAACGCTGTGGCCCGTTACATTTTAGGACTTCGCTTGGCTCAGTAAATAAATAAATTCCGCAGAATTTCCGCATTACAACCCCTACCGATTACCGGAATATTGTGTTTCCAACCTCCCCCGTTATAAAATAGCAGGCATGCATTATTAGACCGTAGTATTTCCCATAGTTCGGGCCGGGGGCGCATGATCTGAAATCAGTGTCGAGGAGGAACGTGCTCAAAAGAGAACTCGCCAGTTCATGTTCCGCGTTTTAGAGCAAAGCTTTCGGGAAACTTTTCGGGGAATTCTGGAATCACGCGTCTTGATCACCGGTCACTTTCAACATCATCGGCGTTGATAAACCAGTGATTTCCTGCTGATTAGTCCAGATTGGCGAGGGTGAGATTGAATTGCTCCAGTTTCGATTCCCGATCTTTACCAGAATGAAGCACAGAAACAAACAATGCCTGCTGGCTTCAAGCCGTTGTTGTTCTTACTAGTCAGAAGTTCGGAATCCCTGCAATTGTTGTTCGGTCGTTTTAATTCCTTCCTAGCTTTATTCGACTTCATATAGCAATTTTCAGGGGCTTTGAATGATCATTAAAACCCCCAAAAATGGAAAACTCCTCCGTGACTTCCCCAGCCCGATAATGCCGGAATATTACTTCTAAATCCATAGAGACCGAAGTTAGCGAATGCAAATATAATTCGGATCCCCGTAAGAAACTCCGCTGAAACTAGAATGTAGCGCAAACTTTAAATGGAGAGTTCATGTAAAAATGCTAGTTAAAGTTTCACTCGGGCCGAATACGACGGATTCCCAAAAAGTTTCCTCGGCGGTAATTGCAAGAATTAATTTCCCCATAATGCAGCTTGGGTTTATTTGCAGAATTTCTCCTGTTGGGGGACGAGATATTTTTGTTTCAAAGCTCGAGCAGTTCAATCGCACCCGATCTGAGCCCAACATGTGGCGCTCAGAACTGTAGTAACCGAAGCTCAGTAATCGGCGGGCGACTAAAATGTTAAAAGGCGCGAAGCTCGCACTCTTAGGGATATTTTGGCAGCTGTTGACGCGTGCTTATGTTTGCAGCTCGTTTCAGGGTAAGTACACAGGTTTCAGCTTCCAGCACCGAAACTTGCTAGTTCTGTTTGCTCCAGCTAATTACATCACCCGGTTTACTAGGCGTAAGTCTCGCAAAGTGTCTACTTTGACGCCTATCTTAAGCTTGAAAGGTTCATAAAGTGCACATAGATTTTGCAGCGCGATTACAAGGAGCAGCGCTATCTACAGGGTGGCGTATGTAAGAAAATCTGCACGAAAACGGGAGATTTTTGAGCCCGCAAGGATGTTCATTTGGCGATGACTATGAGCACCCGAAATAATTTTTTTCAAAGCAAACTTTGATGGCTTTTCGCCTGCCAAAATTCCAAATTTTGTCCCAAAAGACAGCGGGGAAATTTTCGGGGGTAATTGCACAATTGCTTCAAAATTACCGATAATTTTGCATGAAAGCTTGTTGTCTAAAAACTGCATGAGTTTATTTTCATATTGTGGCGAAAAAGCCCGACTCCGAAGGAGGAGGGCTTTTTCGTTCCAAATGTGAAAATACACGAATGCAGTTTTTACAAGACAACAAGCTCGAATGCAAAATTATCTGTTTATTTTGATGCACAAGTGTAATTTTTATGAATATTTCCTGAGTAAACAAAGCAAATGTGGATTCATTTTATTTCTATTATATTTTATTACACTTTTTATTTTATTACTTATGTTTATTAAATATAACTTAAATATCTTAGGTATGTCAGGAAGACATTTGAAGTCTAATTCAACATGAAAAGACACCTGTCAAATATTTTTTGTAAACAATGCAATTATCGTTGAGTGATAATTATCTGTCTAT